ATTGCCCGGGACGCAATTGGCCGAGGACACAGCAAACCTGGGGAGGAAAGACGCCAGCCCTCAGGTTGCAGCTCACTCGACAGCACCCGGCCATGTTTTCAAGTTTAACGAGGCCGAAATCCTCGCAACGGGTGACAGCCATGTGAGTTGCTCGGGTCATGGTTCAGAGTCCACCAACAAGCGCAATGACCTGTCGTTTCCACATTTTGTGCTGAGACTTCGCCTGAGCAGGGGAATCAGTCACGTTGGGAGGGCACGGGCGAAGAACATGTCCAATGACAACGAACCAAATGGCCGTGCAATTATTACACTAACATCCGGCAATACTATCCACCTATAGAACCAACTACTACGGCTGCCAGGGCCCAAGAAATGAGGCCCAAGGCAGAATGGGACAGATGAGTTCTGTTATCGATCAGGTAAACGTTCAGCAACGAATGTCAATATTCCCTGACCTAAACCGGCGAGAAAAACGAGCTCGTGGCTCAATGGTTGGGGCGTTTGACTCTGATCAAAAAGGTCACGAGTTCGAGGCTCGGATGGAACGCCACTTGGGTCTGGGTATGACTGGCTGATGACGGTCAATAAGTCGGAAATGGGCATTCCAGTCTCCCTCGTCTTTGTCGGCAATACTATCTGTCTATACTACAAGCTGTCAGGGCCCGAGAAATTAGGCTCAAGGCAGAGAGGGACGGACGAGTTCCGTTCATCAACGATACTAACATCCGTTGATGACACATATCGAGCCCTAACAGACCTCACTCGTCCCTATCTCCCTTGGGGCTTACTCTCAAGCCTCACCTACAGCCACATAGAGATGTGTGGGTAGATTAAAATTGGTAAGGTCGTTGAACATACGATCAGCAGATCGCGGAGTCGAGCTTCGGATGTTGCTCCACGTGAGATTGGTTATGACTCGCTGATGACGGCATATGACTATTCTAGTCTCCCTTGCCTTTGCAAGTAAGGTTCATCTATCCCACTAACATCCGACATGGATGATGCACTTGTAGTAATTAACGACTCGGACGTGAACTGCCAAGCCCTCGGCGCATCAATCACGACCTCCCAGCGGTAATCGCGAGAGCTGCTAATTGTAGTACGCACGACCACTGCGGAATATAATTACTACGCCCCCTTATGTTCCTGTCACCCCTTTCTGCGATTGTCTCTAATTATGATGGGTTCGGGCGGGAATCCGAAACGTCAGGCCAGTATACGCTTCTTGGTCCAGCAATCGCATCTCCTCCTCCTCGTCCTGACCTGCTTCCTGCAATTCGCCTGTTCGCTTCCATCGGCAAGAGAGTGGAGTCATTGAAAACAACAGATCTGACAAGTTCTGCTGTACTTATCGATGCGGACCTGTTCTGTGATCGACCGAATTCGAAACATCAGGCCAATATACACTTTTTGTTCCAGCGATCGCACCTCCTCCTGTTCGCTTTTATCAGGAATATCATCATCATTGCGTTTTGCGTGGTGGATTCGCCGTAGACCGCCTGGGGACGGTGACCTAAATGTCACACAAATGTCCTTGAAAAACCTGTGATTCTACCGCTCCACCACTGCGCGGGTTCTAGTCCACAACAACCTCTCAGGACCCTTCGATATTCGGCCTGGCGTTCGACAAAGCTGTGTCCGGTTGCCCATCCTCTTTAACTACGCCACTGACTGGGTTCTCGGGAAGGCCCTACAGGAAAATGACGATATTGAGCTTGCACCCCGACGCCGGTTGACTGACCTCAACTATGA